CCCCCGCCCCCCTTCCCAACCCAAGGAGTCCGTCACGCGTAATCATTCAGAGTAGATATAATTCTTCGTCTCTCTCCTGGAAGTAAATCTCGATTGCAACTTGGAACATGTAGTTTAGGGAGTTTGAGGTAGAATTAATTAACATGAATTAGAATTATAATTTCAATTTATTCTGTTATACTAATAAATATTATATAATTTTCAATTTATAGGGATCATTCTACTATCTACCATAATATTAGTAGCATATCCGACTTATTTCTGAGGTGTGGGAGCAGTTGACCAGAGCTTGAGACTTTTTTAATTATCAGGAGGAAGAGGGCAACAAACCGACAAAATAGGAGGACCGAGGGAGCATGGGGTACCGCACTCCATATTAAAGGATCAATCATGCACATGGAGCGCTATCAAAAGTTTGTAAGATTCATTAAATATTCGATAATTCAATGGTGCTACTATACGACACTTCTTTTTTTTCATGTCCACAGGCATAGGAGCTTGACCGACCACCAACAACTAAACATCCATGGATGCAATAGTGATTCTTCAATAACTATTGACATATCAATTTAAGTAAAAAAAAAAGGTGATTTCACACTTTTTTTGTAGATGGTCAATGTAAAATGTCGATTAATCATTAGTTTTAATTATATAGGAGGAGTGGTAGCACATTCAAGACATGTAGAGCCATAGGTAGAACTAAAGCCAACATCTACTAGTTATGGTAATCAGTCTACCACTGCATAGTCTGATTTTGAGATGTGGATGCATACAATAGGGAAAAAGAGTACAAGAATTCAGGCTTTTTCCAACTGCCACAATACGTCAGTTATTACAAGAAAAATTGTCACTTTTAATATTACTGATGGTTTAACACCAATATTCTGACGGAAACACTTGTCATTAATTCTAAGCCTGATCGATATTCTGACGGTATAAAAGTATCAACAGTTATCTAACAATTTTATGTTGTAACTTTTATCAAGAAAATTCGAGTCACCTGTAATCGTCGGTTCGTATGACCGACAGTTTTTTCGTAGGTAATAGTGAAGATATGCACGCCGAAAAAAGTGTCCCACCTTCCCATGTTTAATCACAAACTCTAATACCTTAAAATTCATAAAATTCAAACCTTGACCTAATTAATAAGACAAGTTAATTCCAAGTTGGAAAAAAAAAAACCCATAGCTTGACATCTCAAATCAACACAGCCTATCACATCCCTTAACAAAATTTTTAGGTTGCATTCATAAAGCTTTAATGAAACGCCAGCCCACAGTCATTAAAAAGTAGCAAGAAGATAAGAACACTTGCCATGAGAGATTGACAAAAGTTGGTGAGTTAGAGAAGACAGTAGCAGTTGATCTCACCCCTTTATATAATAGTGGAGGAAGACGATGCCTTTCTCCTGAACAGAAGAGAGATTTCAAACAAGTTTCGACTCCTATTCTCTTTTTGACTGCTGCCCCATAATAAAAAGTCCAATCTTTTCTTCTTTCACTGAGACAAAAGTAAAACAAAGAACTAAGCTTCGGCTAAAAGGCAAGATTTTGTTCACTTCTCCCTTCATTTTCTACTTCATTCTCTTTCTTGATCCGTTGTGTACTGAAAGTTTGAATTATGATTGAATTGCTGTAATCATTTCGATCTCTCTTTACAGATCCATGGATTCAGAAGCAGTAGCTGGACGCTGGCTTTCGGAGACAACAGTAAGGCTTTCTTTAGATTTAACTTCTCGTTTTAAATTTGTATATATATGAGAAAAGGATGTTTTATTTCATATTTATTAAAGGGAATGCTGGATCCAAATTATCATCAGTGGGAACTGAGCTCACTGGACCATCTCCTATGGGATGACTTGGATAAAACGCTCTCATCTGAGAGCTTTTCCTTGAACCTTACTGCTACAAGCAAAGCACACAGCTGCGGCTCATCCATCGACTCCTGTGGAGCCATGGCGGCCACTGAAAGCTCGAAGAAGGTCCCGAAAACATCGTCAGTGAGCATGCTCTCTTTCGGAAGAGAGACGTCGGAGCTGTACAAGGACCTGGTTATAGGAGCTGCGAATCCATCGATTGGCTTGAAGAGAAGCTATGAAGCCATGGCGGCTGCTTCGCAGGGGAAGAAGAAGGAAGCAGGGGTCTTGGTGCAGAGGCCTAATTCTTCACACAACCAGGATCATATTTTAGCTGAGAGGAAGAGGAGGGAGAAGTTGAGCCAGAGATTTATAGCTCTTTCAGCCATTGTTCCTGGCCTCAAGAAGGTACTGAGTTCTCTCTGTTTATTTCTTAAAGTGCAAGGATAATTTCTAACTCTTAATTTAAAACCTGACAGATGGACAAAGCATCAGTGTTAGGGGATGCAATAAAGTACCTAAAAACACTACAAGACAAAGTAAGAACTCTAGAGGAGCAAGCAGCCAAGAGAACAGTTGAGACTGCTGTTCTCGTGAAGAAATCTCACATCTCTGCCGAAGAAGAAAACGAGGCTTCTTCCTCCGATGAGAACTTCGCCGGAGATGGATCTCGGCTGCCTGAGATTGAAGTTAAGCTCTCAGGAAAGTCATTGCTGATCAAAATCCACTGCGAGAATATAAGGGGAGTGCTGGTTCGAGCGCTTTTAGAGATCCAAAAACTTCAACTTGCGTTGGTGAGCGTCAGTTCGGTGGCTTTTGCGGCGTCGTCTCTTGATATCACAGTGATGGCTCAGGTGGCATTTCGTCGAACACCTATAATTTGAGATTATTTATTTTATGTTGTTAATGTTATATTTTGATATGAAAAAGAGATATTTTAAAATACAAAATTCAAATTGTTTACTATGTATAAAGTTAAAATTATTCTCTCTCTTTTTTTAACAATATTTTAGTTCCAATGAAAGTTTCAATGATTTGATGATGACATGGTACATCTAAAGTAGAACATATTAAGAACATGATAACATGTATTGTACTGCGCCATCAAGCCTTTATCTGTACGTAATATTTTCTCATAATTAAAATGAGCTCGACTAGCACTTCAGTCCCCCTTAAGCTGCATACTGTCCATGCACAACAAAGTTGCATAAACAAAGATGCTATTACAAATTCTTGATAGGAGCTTCTTTTAAGAAAAATTGAAGGACTAGAGACTAAAATCTAAATATTTATATTTGCATGCTTGGTAATCAAATTTTTAGCATGTCATTAGAAATACAATCATTAGTAGTTTTTCAAAAGTGAAAGCATATTTATATGACATTAAATTTTTATTAAACACATACGTCAAGGTGATGAGGATTTCCAAACAAAATTTTCTGAGGAACTCTTTAAACTATTTCAATCTGACTTAGTTCAGAAAGTTATGGTTCTTACATTAACTTATTTTTCAGTATCATTGGCACAAAAATTAAGAAAAAAGATATAATTTTGTTATGTTTTAGATTATTGTGAAGAAAAATAATTAGGTCGTAGCAATCAAGGGATTCAACTTTTGGATTTTACTGAATTTTTTTGCTTATTTTTGAATTTGTTTGCAGATTGAGGATGGGTTTTCTATGACAGTGAAGGATCTGGTGAGGAAGTTAAGTTCAGCCTTCAGACTGTTCGATTGAAAGCAGCACAAGCTTAGTTATTTTGACTTTTTATGTGCTGAGTTAATTTTCTCAATTTTCTTTCTTTTTTTTTTTAATTTTTCTTCTAGTCTTTTTTATATCATTAGTCTACGAAGTAGAAATTTGTGGCTAATGGTTGATTAGACTTTGCTTTTAGACTTTTTTAGGGTTTGTTGCTTTTGAAACGAGGCCATCAATGAATCTCCTCTCCATAGTAAAAAATAAGTAGAGCTAAGTGTGTATTTAAATATGTAATATTGTATATTATTATGTATTATTATGCATAATTTTCAATATACCATAATCCACAAAAATATAAAATAATACATATTGAAATGCATGTAGCTCTATCATAGTTAATAACTATCTCTCCTTGAGAAGAAGATCAGGCCATCACTTGCTTCGGTATTTTATTGTTTCCAATCTCCACACACTTCTTTTTAACCTTTGATCTCTATCTTTACTCTTTTTTGCATGGTAAACCTTGATGACCATGTTGTGAGGAGAGAAGAGCTTGCCATGTTAGTCGGTTTGGGGACCTAAATGTTAAGATTGGGAAAGTTGATGTCATCTAGATGTGTTTTTTGATTGATTATCTAGTGAGCTAAAGGCGTACATTAATGTATTAATATGTATTTTATTATGAGTTATGACATGCAACATATTTAAAATATTTTGAATATGTTATAATACATAATACATAATTCATAATCATCTCCCTATATGAGCATTACACACATAATAATCATTTGATTTTTTTTCTTTCCCAATAAATGACCTCTTTTTTCATTTCTTTTTCCTCTATCAACTACTCACCTTTCTAAAACTTGAAATGATGGGGAGAAATATCCAAATGTTGGCTTTCTTTAGTTTAGAGAGAGGATTTTTTTTCTTTCCCAATAAATGGCCTCTTTTTTCATTTCTTTTTCCTCTATCAGCTACTCACCTTTCTAGAACTTGAAATGATGGGGAGAAATATCCAAATGTTGGCTTTCTTTAGTTTAGAGAGAGAGGGAGAGAGACATTGAGGCCTATCATTTCATAAGTTTTAATTGTTGTTCCCTTTTTTTAAGTGATGAGTTTGTGTTTTTTTTTTTGTCACTTGTTTTAAGAAAATGTAAGAGGCTCCCCCTCCTTTTATTTGTCGTTAATTTGAATAATAAATATCGAAATAAGTTATAATGTCTTATTCAGTGTAAACATTTACTTTTTGGGTATCTATTTGTGAATAATTTTCACATCATATTGGCTCCTACAATTATTTCTCATGCCTTTACCAGATCGATGCCTAACAAGTTAATCCGGCAGAACCAAAGAACAGCCGAGCAACATACTCATATGTATAAAATGCCTATAATATTTTGTACAACCAACATTAAAATATGGATAGAAAAGTCATAATTTTTGCATGACATAGCTAAAGAGATGGATTACACGTCTAAAAATGGACATATTGCATCAACCTTGAATAGCATGAAACAAACAGAAGTAAATAGTAACATTGAGATTTTATTCTTTTTAACTATTTATTAAATATTCTTTGAAAATCATATTTTGCTAAGATCTCTATGAAAATGACAATTAATCAGCCCATGGTCCAAGGAAATATTCCAGATGTTTTTTTTTTCAGAAACAGACAAAAACTTATATACTGCAAATCGTGAAGCTTTTTGTTTAGTCATTTTGGATTATGTGACATGATCTTCTGCATTACTAAACAAAATGTAAACTTTATATATATATTAATAGTTATCTGACAGCTCAAGATTAACATAATGGGAAGCTGGTTTGGTTGGTGAAGTTGAGATATCATTAATGAATTGTCCATTAATTGTGACAACTTGATGAAGACACATTATGTACTTATCTTTTTATTAATCTCTTTGACACTAACAAATTATTTACTTAGAGAAAGGGCCGTTGGTAAATTGGTTTTGAGCCGGGCTTGTCTTCTAGAAGTCGTCATGAGTTTGCTTAAATTGAGTTATTCGGATGCCTTTCAGCTCGAAACTAGCTCGATCCACTCAAAATTTAAATGAGCTGGCTCAAATTGAAAAACTCAAGCTGAACATTACATAACTCTGAATTTTTTAAACGTACATACTATGTCAATCTTATCATACTATATATATATATATATAATTGGTAAGATCTTGATATATTATGATAAACATCGTTGCTTATCCTATAAAATTATTTATCCATAATTGGAAGTAGAGATTACACCCTAGCATGAATAATTAACCTATAATTAGATAAAACTGCCCTTGAGATGAACTAATCAATTAGATTTGACATGGGCATATCCGAGTGGTTGATGATGGTACAATAGCTAGTTATGTCTCAAATGAACTATTTGATTAGATATGGTATCATGGGAGATGATCTCACCATTGCATTGGTGATGATTGATTTTAGTAATTTCAATGGTCAAATTAAGGGGCTAGGGTTAAATTATAAAAAAATAAAAACTTCATTAGTTCATCACCATTCTAATAAAAAAAGAAAATAATAATAAGAATAATATCTAATTTATTTATTCATTTTCTTACGTCAAAATATTTTGACACAAAACAAAAAATATTTTTACCTCAAAATTTTATGACAGAAATATTAGTTCCTGATTTGAAGTAGCGCGAAATAAATTTTAGTATTTGATGTAGCTTTTGAGTCCATTTTGCGTTCAGTAATTCGACGCAAATTGTACTCTTAAAACGAAACGTAAAGCGGAGTTGAGTAATTTGCATCGAATTTGAGTTGAATAAAGAGACAAAAAAGCCTTATTGAAAAGTCTCGAATTATTTAGGCGCAAGAATAAAACGTAAAATATGATGTAAATAAGACGAATTCTGCCTTACTTAAGTGCATTCAAAATATCTGACGCAAAAAACCTAAAATACTACTCCCGCCCGCCAATCATCATTGTTCTTTTCTGCCCCTCTACTTCTTCTTCATGAAGCCCGCGCTCTCCTCCCTCTCCCTCCCGGTTTTACTCAAAACCATCGCTGTCGTCAACAAAACATCACGATGCAGTCACCATTAGAGCTAGCTAGGAAAGCAACAATGGTACGTGGCTTATAGAGGCACATCAAAACTCCTGTATTTCTCATCCTTCAAATTCACTCCAATCAGAATACATTGAGAAAGGTATGTATCCTACTATATGTATATGCCTAATTATAGGTAAGTAATTTAGGGATTGACTTTAAATTTAAGTTCTTTTTTTCTTGCTTTAGTTATGAATGTTCTTACCAAACATTTACAATCGAATGCACCTTGGTGTATGTTTTTTTGTTGATTATATCGTTCTAGTGGATAACATTATAGAGAGTTCATGAAAAACTTGAATTATGTATGTCAACCGTAGAGTTTAAAGGCTTTCGTTTGAGTAAATCTAAACTAAATATATTAAATGCAATTTTAGTAGTAGTGGATCTAGTGGCGCATTATAACAATGGATGGTCAAGTCGTTAAAAGGAATGAACAATTTAGTAATGTCAAATCTATTGTCAAAAACGATGGTGGTATAGATGGGGATGTTATTAGTAAAATTAAAGTTGGATGGTTGAAATGAAGAAATGCATAAGAGCTATTATGTGATAGTAAAGTACCACTTAGACTTGAACATAGATTTTATAAGACTGTGGTGAGGCCTGCAATGGTTTATGGTGCAGAATGTTAGCCTATAAAAGAAGCATAAAAGTAAGTTTAGCCTTATGTTAAGGTGGATGAGCGGCTTTATACTTAGAGACAAAATTCGAAATGCATATATCCATGAAATAGTTAAAGCTCCAATGGCATAGAAGATTAGAGAGTGTCCCCTTAGATTGTTTGGTCGCATCAAACATTGACTAATTGATGACCTAATTACGAGAGTAGATGTTTCATATTTGACTTATGTTAAGAAAGGTGGAGGTTATCCTAAAAAGACTTGTGAATGTTGTATAAAAATGATCTTAATATAGTAGAATAATGAAAGTATGACACTCAATATGACACAATGGAGAAAAACAATTCATTTAGCCAACCCCACTTAGTGCGGGACAAAAACTTGTTGTTGTTGTTGTAGGTAAGGAATTCAAACACAGTCATAGTACGTAGAGTCGATGGAAATAAAAGGCAAAAAAATATGGCGGATTATTTCGACGCTACATAAACGAAAAACATATTACTGACCCCATTTTAACTGCGAAAAAAATGAACACAAATCCGACGATATCCCTTGAATACCGTCGACATGAACATTGATAATGTAAGACTTTGGCTCCAGCAATTACATAAATTGTATGTTATATTATGCCTACTGCAATTACGAGGGAGATCATCATCTATATGTGTAATGTATATTAATTGGTTTATTTCAACTAAGCCATAGCACTTTTCATTTTTTTTATTTCGAGTTTTTCACATAAAAAAATTTGGGCATTTTTATCTCTCTTTTCCACATATTCATACGAAGTTATGATGTCAAACTCTCTCTATCATGTATATTTTTTACTTAATTTTAAATTATTTTTATAACAATGAATAAAATCACGCATAACAAGGCATGCCTTGCGGACAACCAACAAGCAAATCATGAAATAAATTCGGGCAATCCTTAAGAGAATTATTATCTCGAGAACTATGATTAATTAGTAAATATATCATTTCATTAATTTATTTCCTTAAATCAGTAAGATACTCTCCAACCCCGTTTAAATGTAATTAAATGGTTTGTTTATTATATTATTGAAAGTTTACAGTGTGTGTGGTTGGGGAAGAACAATGTTGTCTGTCCCTTCTCTTATAATTGATTAGTAGTATTTCGAGTCAAAACGGGCCAAACACGAACGAACAAATATTTGTTCGTGTTCGGCTCGTTAACTTAAGCTGTGAAAATTTAAAATATTATGAATAGTTGAGGTTCTCATAATCATTTTTTTATATTTAGCATACCATATATAAATCTTAGGAATAAATGAGAAAAGTATTCTTTCATACATATAAATAAATCACTT